AAATAAATAAACAAATAAAATGAAAATTAAAAACTTTATTCCAAATTGCTGTAGTTGAAAGATTAAGAGGTTACATTTGGAATTCATTTTTTAACAGGGTGTCAGCTGACAGTTTTAATTTATTCAGAAATCTAAAAGAAAATATCTCTAGAAAATCGCCAAATTATGATTGTTACATTCAAAAAAGCTTTCAATGAGAAATATATTTAAACTTTGATAATAAGCTCAGTCTAAAGTAAAGAATAAAATATCTCTTAGCCAAGTTTTCATTGTGCTTAATTGTTTTAATATTCCTGAACTAAAGGAAAAACTAAAAAGAAATAAAATTCAGGTGTTTTTAATTAAAAAGTTAATAGTTTCCATAATGAAACATAATTATACTTAATCTCAGGCATAGTACCGTAGAAATAGCATGTGAGAAACTCCAGGATGATATTTTTCATTTTCACATACACATACCAAAGTTAAATAAGTAAATAAATAATAAAATGCAATTTCAGATTTATCATCGAAACATTATAGCTAATCACTTAATCAGAGAGTAGAAAGTTTGCTTTCAGCCTTAGAACAAGTAAAGAGTGATTAAACAGTAAAGCAGTGATAAAATATACAAACGGACATATATTTGAGACATTAAAATTCAGATCTGAATACTTTATTTATTATAATTAACATTATAAATACATGCTATGGTAATAAAAAACCATAAGGCGCTTTTGATTATGTGCACTTTTATCAGTATGGGCTTTTATCACCGTGGGCTTTTATCAGTGTGGGCTTTTATCAATGTGCGCTTACATCGCTGTGGGTATTTGTCACGTGGGCAATTATCATAGCAGGCTTTTTTATGTGGGCTTTTGTCGCATGCGCTTTCGTCCAGTAGGCTTTTGTCTGGGAACCAATTTAAACACCAGTTTATTTTATTTATCAGACAGATTATGTCAACTAAAAAAACTTATCAGTAAAATTCTGTAGTAATAATTCTGAATGTTAGACAACTTGCAAGATTTGACAAAAATTATCAATACTTTTATTTAATGACAATACTACAGTAACATGAACATAAAATTAAACTGCATATAACTATAAAATAAGACAGCATATAACCATAAAATAAGCCAGCATATAATAATGGGGCATTTGTTTCTGAAACAATGGGCTGGATAAAAAATACATGTATTATGGTAGCTATTCATATTCTTCAGCTTTCCTAATATTCTCATGTTCACTTTACATAACTAAAGTATCTAAAATACAATAAAAATGCAAACAATATTTATGAGAAAATGTTAAAAGCAATCATAAGCATTTGATTGAATGACCATATTTTGTCTTAAATCTTAAAAGTCGAATCTTAAAATGATATGCAGTTTGAAAAATGCTTAATCCTTTTATAAAATATTCAAAAAAGATTTAAAAAAGGTACTGTTCTGTTATCAGGACCGGGTTCAGAAATGTATTTATGTGCTTGTATATTTGTATGTGTGTGTCTACATATACACATCTATGCACATACTTACAAACACAGGTTCATACATTTCCGAATCTGGTCCCGATAACACAACAGTACCCCCCAAAAAACTTAAAACTTCTGATTCTCCATGTTTTAAAATTGAGTTACAAACTAGATTAAGATAATGTTTCAACCATACATATTTTGGACAAAACAGTGCAAACTCTTATTTTTATACAATTGTTAAAACCATTTAACATAAATTTATTGCTACAATAAAATAATAAGCAATCTGATCACACCTATTATTTTGAAACTGAATGCATAAACTAGACCAAAAAAAAAAAATTCAGTCATAAACATTTGGATAGCAGGGCAAATAGATATTTGAAAAGCATATACAGCCATTGAGATATACACATAATTCACGACAGAATAGGTAACAATTCATAAAGCTGTGATAGCTAACACATTTAACTCAAAATGTCATAACATGACATAATTCGAAAATAATTATGACATCAAAATTCGAAAAGCAAAAAAAGTAAACATACAAGTACTGCAACTGAACTTACCTTTCATGCAACAAAAAAATATCCATATAAGCAGACCTCATGGCGCAGCCATTTTGGATTTTGTTTCAAATATTCGACAGACGTTTGCGGATTTGCTGAAGAATACGAGGAACTAGTAGTTTGCCGGATACAATGTGCAATGACAAGAAAGAATATAGTTCTGCAGAACTTCCTACATCATTCCGTAATAAATAGTACTATTTCATAATTTTTTCTTTATCTAATTAATTAATTAATAGGGAAATAGTTAAATACTGCTGCATTAAGTTTTAAAAGAAATGTAAAATTTTGCATGTATGTGATGACCACCTTCTGTCCAATATTTCTGAGAATATAAACAAAAGTTTGGAATCTGAGAGTATCGGTAAATAAATATATAGAATATCGCCTCTCAAGCGACCACTTCTGAAAGTGACCAATAGTTCTAAGATTATAAATAAATATTGATATTAAGCATTATTTTTCTAAGACTATGATCTCTATATAAGACCAAAGCTTCTAGAGTCTTGGATAGTCTTCAGAGAATTATTTTTACTGCGAAATTATCACACAACTGTAATTCAATATCAATAACAGATCGCGCGATTGAAAAACATTTTCAGTCCTGTAATTAGGGGAAAATCTTTTTCTCCTTATAAGGTATTTCTCCCGCTTTCCTAGAGTGCCTTTGTGTTGTAGTGGTTCTGCCCGCTGGGCCGGTAATTCAGAGGCCCGTGGTTCAATTCTCGGCGAAGGCGGTTGCTAATTTTTCATCTCCTCCGCACTCCAAAAAAATCCTAATGTCTCTACAGTGGCAATTGGGTGTTTGCCAGAAACATCCCGTGTGAAACCATCAAGGAGAAAACAGCACAAGGCGAAAACATCATTGGATACAAACATCGTCGTGGTACAAAAGATCGTCATAGAAAATATCACTCTAAAACGTCATGGTACAAAATATCATCATCGAAAATAAAACAATTCAGAAACTTCAGAGTTTGGAAATATCGTTGGCGAAAATGTCGTGGTGGAAAATAAAGAACCTACAAATCATCGCTGACATTCATTTTTCAGGCTTTAATAATTAATTGTAAACGGATATTCGCATAGTGTTTTGTAAGTGCAAGATGGAGAGAAGGATAATTTTTACTGCAATATTTTTTATTAACTAATAAATATTTGCTGAAAATGTAGAATGGAAACTTAAGCATAGAAAATTAATGCAACTTGCACTTAGAAGAATTTTAAACTTGCATAGTTAACTAACAAAAGTCATTAATAAATTATTTTTTATAAAATATTACTGGTAATTTTTCATGAAAAGCATAATCTAAAAAAGAATAGAAAAAGAAGATAAGTAGCTGTATGATCTTGCCTGTAAAAAATAGCTAAGATTTATGAGATTATTTTGTTAACTTTTGCAAATGTGATGCTCTTATAAAAAAAAAAAACATATTTCTTGATATGTTTAAATGTCTTGTTCTGTTTTAAAAATTTATTAGGTAATAAAAAATATGAAAGTGAAAATTATCCTTCTTTCCATCCTGCGCTCACAAATCATTATTTCATTTCATTATAATCATTTGCATTATTCATTATAATCATTTCATCATTCATTATAATCATTTCATCATTCATTATAATCATTTGCAGTTATTAAAGCCATTGCTTTATTTTTCACCATGATATTTTTGACGATGATGTTTTTAAACTGCGAAGTTTTTTTACCACAATGTTTTAGAACTGCGATGTTTTCTCTTTGGTTCATTTTCTCCCACGATGTTTAAAGCATGACGTTTTTGTCATTTCATCGTTTTCTTCGCGACATTTTGGTCCACAATATTTTTTCCGTAACGTGCAAATTGTGCTCTTCCTTAAGTTTCTAATTTGATTCATCATGTTATATTTTGAAGACTATTATTGCAGTTATTTTACCAAGAATAAAGTTTGAATTTTAATTATGTTGAAAAGGTTTTAAAAAGAGCTTCAACGAGTTCTGTATGGCAAAAACATATTTTGATGTCAGTAGATCAGAAAATGGAATTTGAGGGGGGGGAAGGCATTATCTGCTTCAAAATTATGTGAGGAGTGGACGTTTTAGTAGACTCATTATTTATTATGCTTTCCTTTCATCATCACATGACATCTTGAGTAATGACTCATGAAAACAATTTTTTTATATCAGTAATTGAATAATAAAAGGAGTATAGTAACCTTTTATGTTGACATTACGCTTGGTGATGATTACAGATTTAAGTTAAATGTGCTAAAAAATGTTGAAGAGGTTTTCAACAAAAAATTTTTTCCATATGCTAAATTTCGATTGACAAGTTAGTCGGAAAGTTCTCAAATTCTGAAAAAGCAATTTAGAGAACTAAATATAAATTCAGCACAGTAACAGCAAAAATTAGCTGTAGAATAAATTTCTAATTCTGATGAAAGTAATCTTTTCTGTAATACATTGGGGATCTCCATGGAAAAGCCAGATTCCAGAGAAGGACTGTGATTCATTAATAGGTGAATGCTGTAGGAATGCAAGAATATAAATTTTTTGGAATCTAAAAACATATACAATGTACGGACATGTAAAGGAATAAAGATTGTCCCCATCATCTGTTATGGAGGTATAAAAGCATGGATGATGCAAATATTAATGCACGATTATTTGAAGTTTCACCCCCCCCCGAGTCTCGGGAATATTTGAAATTGTTTGTTTATCTGATACAAAAATTGTCTTGTATAAACAATTGTTGGTCCCGTACTTTAATTTGTAGTAAATGATGTCTATGTTATTCATTCTTCCAAACTGTACATCCATCTTTTGGCGTTTTGCATGCACTGAAGTGCAGATATAAGTGGTCTTAATATCTGTATCAAATGTTCTGAATGGTAGCAAGACAATTCAAGAATATTTTGAAATATTTTACTGTAACATTGGCTGTGAGGAAACATTGCAAGGTTGTCGAAGGATGTATCTGCAGTTTTTTTAAAACATGCTAGTTGTAACTTATGGTCATCAGTCATCTGCCATATATCATGGTGAGAATAGGTGCAAGTGTGAAGTTTCTCTGATATTGTGGACAAAAAGTGAACTTTTCCAATTATGGCATTTGTGAAGAAATATTGAGAAGTGATAGTAGACAAAAATGATACAATAAAGTTTCCCATTGTGATGACAGTGCTTCAGTCATCAATCAACTAACAAAGAGCAAAATCTATAATACATTTTGAAATCTAGGAAATGTCATAACCAGTAGTGAAGAAAGTGAGATTGAGAAGATTTTGGTTCACAGTTTAGGTGGAATTTTTGACATGACAGTCACAGGATTTAAGCTTTATAAATAAGCGAAAGCTGTTTTCTATAAAAATTAAAGAAAAGGTTTTGTCAACAGCACCCCCCCCCCCCCCCCAAATGCATTCAAAGAAATGTTTAATAGTGCAAATAAATAAATATTGAACATTTTTAATTTTTTGCCCCTTAACCCTATGACAGGAGGTGGGAAATCGGGCATCCCACTTTTTTATTAGTTTTTATCTACAAGGTTAAAGATTCAAAATTCCAATTCACTCATGAAAGTGTAGAAAAAATTTTTTCCATGTCTAATTTTGAAGGTTTTTTTTTTTTTTTTTTTTTTTTTTCCCTTCCTTTATGCAATTTAAATAATCTGACCAGCTTTTAGTATTAGAAAGAATATTTTTATCTGAAAGTTTCCTTTTCTGATAAAAATTATTATTTTAATTCAGGTATGTTAATTAAAAATGTTAGAAATGAATAGGTTGGACAAACTTATTCCACTGTACGTGTAGGAAATGCTGCTGCTGGGTGGCAGCAGCATTCATTTTTTTTTTTTTTTAAATCATGTATCATGTTCATTTCATATATAGATAATGCAAAATTATATTTTTGAACACATTCCATTTATGTTAAAACTTGAAAAAGGTTTAGTATTTTTCTGAAAGAATTGAAAATTAAATCCTGTAACATGAAATGTCATTTACTACTGAATGGGTATGTGAGTCACCATACTAAAATATCCTAAGCAGAAAAAAGAGGGGTGAAATGTAAATAAACATGATGGCCTACCAAACATTATCCTTTTCAAACCTGTAGCAAATAAAGTGCTGGAGCGAAAATCTGTTTCAAACGTATTATATAAAATCACTAAAAATATCGAAAAAGGTCATACAAGGAGCATTTACCACATTTCCAACACTTTAGTTTGTTCTCACTCCTATTCCATTGCAAAGCATTGACTTCTCCGTATAAATCATCCGAACAAGCCATCACTTGATCCACTGGCTCGAGGACTTAGCAGCTCTGATTAGGTGGCAGTCTCTATGAGTTGCTTGCTGGGCTGCCTCAAATTTCATGGTGTGCACTAGAGTGCTTTGTAAGTCCTTCATGTGCACCATTCACAGAGCTTTCTGTATTTCAGGATGCCGAATGCCATATATGAAGTATTGCAGGGACAGGATTTCCCTGATTTCTGTCGGGCACTCTGAAAAGGCAATATAAGACAGCCTTTCAATATCCGTGACAAATTCCTGAAGTGTTTCCTTGAACTTTTGTTGACGGGATTTTAATTGAAGCCTGCTGTAATCTTTTAAACACTTCTCTCCAGAGCGCATTCAAAGATGGGACAGATGCGCCAAAGCGCATTGAAAATTTCTTGCCATAGCCTTAAATAATTTAATAGTTTTCTGCTATGCAGGTAATTTCTCTTTCATTTCTTCTTGGCCTGCTTCAATCTTTCTTGAACAGCCTTCATCTCTTTAACCAGCTTCGATTTTTCTTATCCAGCTTCCATCTTTCCTTGAAATGCTTACATCTCTAGTTTAACGGATTCTTGGCCAGCTTTCATCTCTACTTTAAATGCAGGAAAGGCTGCCATCAACTGCTTCTCCATCCCATGGTTTTTAATTTTGACATTCAATCCCACATCTGACACTAAAGTGTAGCATGCATGAGGGTTCATAATAGATTGAGTGCACAAGTCTAATAAAAGGTTAATAAAATTTGTTCGTATCAAAAGAATTATAAGACAATGCTGGAGTTTTTCTCAGAGATATTATTACAAGTGTTTACAATATCACACAGTAATAATCAGTAGTTATCCTTCAAACTGCTAAAACATTAAATAAACCACAACCCACAGTGAAGAGAAAGCTAATCCGATCAGCAGCAGCTAACTGAACAACTGAGCTGAGATGTTTTCTGTCTGGCTTTTTATAGCTTTAAATCGATCACGAGGAATTTCTAGTAATTTCTTTGCTTAAGATTTCTGGAAACCAACAAGAGAATGCAGTTAAGATTACAGCTAACACAGTATCAATGTTAAATGCACCATGCTCTTATATTTTTACTTTATTCTTTTTTCCTCTTAAAATTTATCATACGCTACATTGGACACGGAAATAAAACAATTTTAATTATAATTCTACTAATATTAGCTACTTAAATGCAAAATTCATAGCAATATTACAATTACTTTAAAGTTTATTCTGAGAGATTTAGAAATGTGATTATTGTATTTGAATACTCCTTTTACACATTGGTGTGAAAATGTTTTAAATATTAACATAATTTCCCCCTTAGGACATTCAGAAAGCAAGCTTTCCTAATTACCACATTTCCAACACTTTAGATTTTTTTTTCAAGTGTGCACATAGTGATTGTTTTCATATAATTAATTCACTCTAACGGGTTTTGGGTATATATTCTGTGGCTGATTAAGGAATGACAGTAAAAGGCTTCAAGAAAAAGCAATACTTGCAATGATCCTGAAGATTATTGGGCGTTGGGCATAAAGACTGAATTGTGACAACAGTGATGAGTTGCAATCCGTAGCACACTGTATTGATAATTGCTCCAGCAACATTAAATGATTTGAGACCTAGGAAGTAGCAGTGGAAAAAATAGGAGTGAACAAGTTTCAGGGTACATGAAGTAGAAATAAAGATATATTATTATATGTCAGAAACAACGTTACTTTATAATCATACTAGAATGTTGGTTTCTTTTTAAATAAATAATAATCTAGGACTAAATAATATTGGTATTTGATCCATGAATACATTTGTTATGTTTTTACTATAACCTCAGAAATTACTCATGCAATTTATTCTCCTCGATTTTCATATAAAATGAGTAAAAGTTTGGGGGGCATGCAAGTAAATAGAGTGTATCTAATATTATTTAATTTTTCTTTTAAATATATTAGTAACCATATTCTAGAAATTTTTGATTAATTCATTACATGTTTAAGAGAGTTTGTCAATTTTTAAATATATTTAATGAACAGTAAAATTATCATTTCCCATCTGTCGTTTTCCTTCAGTATCTCAGCCATATCTTCTTCAAGAAGTTTGTCTAATTCATGGCTGCCAAATTCTTTTAATCTTCTTGAGTGTATTTAGTGTGTTTTTTTCAGCAGTTTTTTTTTTTTTTTTTTTTTTTTTTTTTTTGGAAGCATTCTGTGGAATAAATACACAATACACATACTCTTTCCTTTTTATCAGTAATAGGAATGAAGTTACATAGTATCTTAAGACAGTGTAGGTATATTTTAATGTTGAAAGTGCTTTCCTAAATTTACGAAGCAACTTTGAGAAAAATGCTTTAACTCTATAAACTTTCAATTCTAGCTTCATGAACAACTGGTAAGATTTTATGACATAATTTGGTCTAAGAGATTTTAGGCAAGTTTGGATTTTGTGTTCAAGTTTGTAATAACTCCTTAGTAATAGTTCTGTGTATTTTTTTACTTAGAAATTTTTATTAGATGCAAGATATTTCATTTTTTATCTTTTAATGTGATAAATACATTCTCGGTAGAAAAGATGAAATTCCGTTGTGTTGAAATACTTGTACATGAAATTCCTTTGTGTTGAAATACTTGTACATGAAAAAAAATTTTATGCACAAGTAATGTACAGTCATTTCTTAAACTTGTTTATTCTTTTTTACCTGCACTTCTTACATGATTAGATGAACAACAAGAAAGCAGTGATTCTGAAAGTAATTCGGAATCTGGGCATAGTCATAGTGAAGATGATGCTGACCGTGATGAGCGTACCGATGATGCAGAAGATGAAGACGACGAAGAGGAAGATGTAAGTAGTGTAAGATAAATTGCCTGTGTCCATTTCTGTTTAAATCAGTAGTGATCTATGAAGCACAAATATTTATGTGTGAATACATGTGTGTGATAAGTTACTATGAAAACGTCCAAAGAGCCTTTAATTGGGAAAGAAAGATATTGTTTCAATATTTGGAATATGTCGGAAAGCTGAAATAGAAATTCTTGTTACAAATATATTTAGAAATGTATGTAAACATTTCATAGAAATGAATTTATGATAATTGTCAATAAACTTTTGTGTTTCAACCTAATTCCTTCAGCAAAACTAGAGTAATAGTGTTCCTGGCTTTCTATGTAAAACTATTTCAGAACATTGTAGATGTGTGCATAGTTTTTTTTTCCCCCTTTTCCCTCTGGCTCTGTTGTATAACTCTTGTTGGAACCTAATGTATTTTTTGACTTAAAAAGATTACTGAAAAGCTAGAGCATAGGTGCTATTTTTTAATGAATTATTTGTTCCATGAAGGATTTCAAATTATTAATTGAAAATAAAAATTCATTTGTGCTTTTGTATTGACAGTTATTTTATTTGATTTGAGTGAACCTCATAAATCAAAGCTGCTTAACCATCTTACTAAACAGAGGCTTGGATATTAGGAAACAAAATTAACTAATCTAATAGAATTTCAAAAATCCATATCTGAATTTCATTGCTGCAACGAGCTGGAATATGGAGTTTTTAGGGAGATATTTGAGCAGCATATCTGCCAATATGTATTTCTCTTTAGCTTAATAGTTACTTTCTGTCTACTTTGTTTCTTTTACCCTCTGAGCGTTATGGCTGGGTTTAGGCGGCCAAGAAGACCTACTTCAAAAGCGATACCGACGCTTCTAGGCGGTCAGTGGAAAAGTGTTTGAAAGCGTTACTGACTGTTCTAGGTGGTCAGTGGCGACGACCTCGAAAGCACTATGACCGCCTTAAAGTGGCCATGCAGATGTCCCAGTGCCTCCTTTATTTCTGGAACCCTGGAGATATTTAAATGACAACTCTCAGTAGGAGGCCGAGAGGGTTGCGCTTTTTCGTTTTAGACCGCTATGTTTAATAGCTAAGGAAATGCTTGAACATACAGTGGTTTATAAACAACAAACAAACGTGGACTTCCTTCGCTAAATAAGTAAGTAGCAAATAAGGATGTTTTTCCAATGCTCTCTTTAAACAGATAGCATTTTTATAAAATATTCTTGTTTAAAAAAACTAAATGTTCAGAAATATGCGAAATGCTCGTGAATTCAATTAAAATATAGCATTTGGAAATATTTAAACAAATTTACTTATGGATATATAGATGTATAATTAAAATTGGCAAATTAAAACTTTTAATTATTCGCACGAAACAAAAAGTACTACATTTAATTAACCCGAGTTACATATAATTAATTACACGTAAAGAATAACATTATTTAAGCAACAATTCCAATAAAAATTAGCCATCAACAGTAAGTTATAATAAGCACATTCTTGAATGGCTTTATGAAGCATAATCTAATTTGATAGTAAGTATAATTATGGAGAATTATTTTTTATTTTTGGTACAATATTCGTCGCTTTTACTGGTTTGATGAAGTTCTGTTCAAATTCATTTTAAATATTCAACAAGTTTCTTATGTAATTATGCTTTACATAATGCAATGCAACAGCAAGCAGAAAGGCAAAGCTGAGTTAAAATTTCTGTATTTTGTTTTATAAATTATCAAAATACCAACCTACAGCGTAACAACTGAGTGTCCGAAATATAACCTGTAACTTTTCTAAAAGTAACAAATTTCAGTTTTGAAAAAATGCAGTAAATAAATAAAACAAAATACTAATAAGAAAAGAAGCTCAGTTTATTATTATTGTTATTATTATTTTTTTTGTTTGCTTTTTTTTATTTTTAGTCCAAAGGGGCAATTTTCCCTGAAAGACTATTAATTTTGTTTTGGCATTTTGCGTTGAAAACTATAAATGGTGAATCACTTTTCAAATTGTTGCTACCAAATATTATCGCCCTGTATTATATTTAAAGAAATTAAATAATGAAGAATCTGCATGAATGTACTTATATTTCTCGCATTATGATAAAACAATAGTACCTATAGCTATCAAAATTTGAATAACGTTGTGTTTCATAGAATATGGGCACGTAGAAGGCCCTAATTTGAATTTGAAATTTGTTTTATTATCAATTTTATGTTTTGTAACACTTCAACGAATTTTTGATGTAAAAACTAAATTATTTCAAAGCGACCAATGGCAAAACTGTACCAAAGAAAACCCATTTTTTATCTCCAGCACACGAGACTTTAAAGATAACGCTAAATGGAAATTCTAAAGATGCACTCGTTTTAAAATTATTTTGAGATATTACTTTTGAACAGAATTTTATGGTTTGAGTACGTAGAACATCATATTTAACAAATAAAGGTAACACGCAAACGTTAAAAATGCCCCTTTGAACATAGTTTAAAATTTGAAAGCTTTCAGATTTTCACTTATTAGTCCAAAGGGGCTTTGTCTTTGAAGGACTATTGTTTTCGTTTTGCAGTTTTGCATTGAATACTTTAAAAGGCTGCTTCACTTTTCAAATCATTGCCACCAAATACTATCGCCCTGTGTTATATTTGAAGAAATTAAATGAGGAAGAATCTGCATAAAAAGGTATGTAATGTTCCTCTGCATTGTGACAAAACAACGGTACCTAAAGCCATCCAATTTTCAGTGACGTAATCCTTCTGCGAATATGGGCATCTGAAAGCCCAAATTTGAAATTTGGAGTTTGTTTTATTATCGATTTCATATTTTGTAAAACTTTTAACGAAGTTTTGATTAACAAACTGAAGGATTTCAAACGAGCGATGGCAAAGCTGTATGGGGAGGGGGGGAGTATCTCCAGTGCGTGAGATTGCGTATCGGAAAAGATAAAGATATGCTCAATTTTAAAATTATTTTGCGATATTCCTGTTGAACTTAATTTTTTGGTTTAAGTGTGAAGAACTTGATATTTAATAAACACACACACAAAATGTTTAATTTTAATTTAAATTAATTATTAAATTATTAAAATTAAAAAATTTAATAAACACACACAAAGAAACGCCTCTTTGGATGTAATTTAAAATCTGAAACCTTTCAGATCTTTGTAGATTTTTTTTTTAAATTGTTTTTTTGAATGCACGTTGTTGGCGTTGGCGAATGATGCAGTAGTTGTGTAGAATAAGCAAGAATTATCTGCAATTTTTTATTTGAAATGCATTGGATTCTCTAAAAGAGTAGCATTCTTAGACTAAATGTTGTCTAAACAGTTGCAATAATATTTTAGCATACCATATCATACAACATATCAAATACAGTTTCTTTTCAATTTAAATAAATTAGTCTGTAGTCTGAAGCCCTTTTTCAAATCATAAGATGATTTTTAATAAAATTTGTAGTAGTCCCAATTTTTATAAATATTCAGAATTACTGAAATAATAAAAGCTAACCTTTTTAAAATTTCTTTATCAAAGTATTACATCTTAGGTCAGCAAAACCTGATTAATAAAATCTGGGAAAGGATCAGATATTCATAGGTCTGAAGCCGTAAAAAAAAGCTTGTCCCCCTATAGAAAATTGTCACGTGATGTTAGAAAATTTTGCAAGGCATTAATATTTTAGCTCAAACATGATTTTTTTTAAATTTGATCTCTTGTTTTGGAGATGGTTTTCAAGCATTTTACCATAATTTTATTTTCACATGTGCAGAATTTTTATATTTTTCATTGATTGCTGTATCATATCTTCCATAGCATAAATTAAAAAAATACACATAAAAACTTCAGCTATAAACCTATGACTTAAAAGAAATTTGTATTGACATGTTATGCAAAAGACCAAATAAATATTAAATGATTTTGCAATTATGTTACATGACAATAATTAGAAAAGAATAACTGTAGATGTGTAAAAAAAAAACCTGTACTTATAACCTTTCGTATTTCTAAAGAAAACTACAAAATGGTTCAAAATAGCAGATGGCTTTGAGATCATTCAGTAATGTCATCGTAAGTATATTCTCTTCACGTTTCGGAAGAACTGCAGCAGTTCAGATTTGTCGTAAAAGAGTAATTACACACCTGGGGATTGGCATACTTACAGAACAAAAAAACAAGCTTTGAAACATACACATACAAAAGTCGTATCTTTTTTCCACACTTAAATGACAGATGTGATAATTTGAACACATGCTTTCAATCAGTTGTTTCCTTCTAACAAAGTGGCCTTGCACTGCTAGCAGGATACTAGCAAAGTCCTGTAATAGTGTCTTGTTTTATGTATGCTGTGTTCGGACTTAAATTCAAAGATAGGCATTTAAAAAAATTTTAATGCTATTTTTTGCATTCAAATATTCAATATTTGTTAATATATGAAACACATAAATAAACTTGCATAGCAGATCAAAATTATGTTGCTGTGAAATGTTCTATCAACAGTTATTTCTTGTAGTTATAACAGCATAACTAAATAAGCTCATTTCGAAACGTAGATGATATTGCATTCATTATTTTTAAATTGAAACAATATCAAGTTGTTATTACTAGTTAAAATGGCTTAAAATAAACTGACACATGAAAATTTTTAAAAATGAAAATTGGATTCACTTTTCTTTCACATAATTTCTGACCGACCAGTTCTACCAAAATATTTTAAAGCTTTCTTTACTACATAATAGAAATGTCTCCACGTTTATTGTTTTTAGTTAGTAATTTTAATTTCGGGCTGTTACATAAGGCTATTTATCTTTGTTGTTGTGTTACAGAAATGGTTTCCAATAAAAACATAGTTAACTAAGTAGTATACTACATCATATTAATTAATTTAGTAACCAAATAGCAAAAACATTTCAAAATTTGAAATCCATCTTTTTACTAAGTACTTTTTGCAAAGTAATAAAAATTCCAATACCTTTCGTGTTTAAATTAAAGATAAAGAAAATATGTTGGATTTTCATGTAA